GTTTTGCCAGCACCATCTGTTGAAGAGACTGTCATTTCCCCATTGTATGTCCATGGTTCCATTATCAAATATTAATTGACCATATATGTTTGGGTTAATGTCTGGAGTCTCTATTCTGTTCCACTGGTCTGTGGCTCTGTTCTTGTGCCAGTACCAAATTGTCTTTATTACTGTGGCTTTGTAGTACAGCTTGAAGTTGGGAAGCAAGATACCCCCTGCTTTATTCTTCTTTCTCAGGATTGCTTTGACTATTTGGGGTCTTTTGTTGTTCCATATGAATTTTTGAACTATTTGTTCCAGTTTGTTGAAGAATGTTGTTTGTATTTTGATAGGCATTGCATTGAATCTGTAGATTGCTTTAGGCAGGATGGCCATTTTGACAATATTAATTTTTCCTAGCCAAGAGCATAGGATGAATTTCCATTTGTTAGTGTCCTCTTTAATTTCTCTTAAGAGTGTCTTGTAGTTTTCAGGGTATAGGTCTTTCACTTTCTTGGTTAGGTTTATTCCTAGGTATTTTATTCTTTTTGATGCAATTGTGAATGGAATTGTTTTCCTGATATCTCTCTCTGCTAGTTCATTGTTAGTGTATAGGAAAGCCACAGATTTCTGTGTGTTAATTTTGTATCCTGCAACTTTGCTGAATTCCGATATTAGTTCTAGTAGTTTTGGAGTGGAGTCTTTAGGGTTTTTTATGTACAATATGTCATCTGTAAACAGTGACAGTTTGACTTCTTCACCAGTCTGGATGCCTTATATTTCTTTGTTTTGTGTGATTGCTGTGGCTAGGTCCTCTAGTACTGTGTTGAATAACAGTGGTGAGAGTGGACATCCTTGTCTTGTTCCCCATCTGAGAGGAAAAGCTTTCAGCTTGTCACTGCTAAGTATGATGTTGGCTGTGGGTTTATCATATATGGCCTTTATTATGTTGAGGTACTTGCCCTCCACACCCACTTTGTTGAGAGTTTTTATCATGAATGGATGTTGAATTATGTTGAATGCTTTTTCAGCATCTATGGAGATGGTCATGTGGTTTTTGTCCTTCTTTTTGTTGATGTGGTGGATGATGTTGATGGATTTTTGAATGTTGTATGATCCTTGCATCCCTGAGATGAATCCCACTTGATCATGGTTTATGATCCTCTTGATGTGTTTTTGAATTCGGTTTGCTAATATTTTGTTTAGTGTTTTTGCATCTATGTTCATCAGGAATATTGGTCTGTAATTTTCTTTTTTTCTGGGTGTTTGCCTGGTTTTGGTATGAGAGTGATGTTGGCATCATAGAATGAGTATTCCCTCCTCTTCTATTTTTTGGAAAACTTTAAGGAGAATGGGCATTATGTTTTCTCTCTATGTCTGATAAAATTCAGTGGTGAATCCATCTGGCCTGGGGTTTTTTTTCTTGGGTAGTTTTTTGATACCAAATTAATTTCATTGCTGTTAATTGGTCTGTTTAGATTTTCTGTTTCTTCTGGGTCAGTCTTGAAAGATTATATTTTTCTAGGAAACTGTCCAGTTCTTCTAAGTTATCCAGTTTGTTAGCATATAGAGTTTCATAGTATTCTATAATAATCTTTGTATTTTTTTGGGATCCGTCATGATTTTTCCTTTCTCATTTCTGATTCTGTTTATGTGTGTAGATTCTCTTTTCCTCTTAATAAGTATGGCAAGGGGTTTATTCGTTTTGTTTATTTTCTCAAAGAACCTGCTCTTGGTTTCATTGATTTTTTTCTGTTTTATTCTTATCAATTTTATTTATTTCTTCTTTGATCTTTATTATGTCTCTCCTTCTGCTGACTTTGGGCCTCATTTGTTCTTCTCTTTCCTGTTTCAATAATTGTGAGTTTAGACTATTCATTGGGATTGTTCTTTCTTTAAACTGCCTTTAGGGCTTTAATCTTTCTTTAGAACTGCCTTTACTGCATCCCACAGAAGTTGGGGCTTTGTGCTGTTGTTGTCATTTGTCTCCATATAATGCTTGATATCTGTTTTAATTTGGTCATTGATCCATTGATTACTTAGGATCATGTTATTAAGCCTCCATGTGTTTGTGAGCCTTTTTATTTTCTTTTGTACAATTTATTTCTAGTTTTATACCTTTATAGTCTGAGAAGTTGGTTGGTAGAATTTCAATCTTTTTGAATTTACTCAGGCTGTTCTTGTGGCCTACTATGTGGTCTATTCTGGAAAATGTTCCATGTGCACTTGAGAAGAACGTGTATCCTGCTGCTTTTGGTTGTAGAGTTATGTAGATGTCTGTTAGGTCCATCTGTTCTAGTGTGTTGTTCAGTGCCTCTGTGTCCTTACTTATTTTCTGTCTGGTGGATCTGTCCTTTGGAGTGACTGATGTGGTGACGTCTCCTAGAAGTAAAGCATTGCATTCTGTTTCCTCCTTTAATACTGATAGTATTTGTTTCACATATGTAGGTGCTCCTGTATTGGGTGCATATATATTTATAATGGCTATATACTCTTATTGGACTGACCCTTTTATCATTATGTAATGCCCTTCTTTATCTCTTGTTACTTTCTTTGTTTTGAAGTCTATTTTGTCTGATACTAGTACTGCAACTCCTGCTTTTTTCTCCCTATTGTTTGCAGGAAATATCTTTTTCCATCCCTTCACTATTAGTCTGTGTATGTGTTTGGGTTTGAGTTGAGTCTCTTGTAAGTGGCATATAGATGGGTCTTGCTTTTTTATCCATTCTATTACTCTGTGTCTTTGGATTGGTGCATTCAGACCATTTACATTTAGGGTGATTATTGATAGGTATGTACTTATTGCCATTGCAGACTTTAGGTTAGTTGTTACCAAACGTTCAAGGGTAGGTTCTTTACTATCTAACCATCTAACTTAACTGACTTATTAAGCTATTATAAACACAGTGTGATGCTTCTCTATTTCTCTCCCTTCTTATTCTTCCTCCTCCATTCTTTATATGTTAGATGTTTTATTCTGTACTCTTTTGTGTTTCCTTTGACTGCTTTTGTGAATAGTTGATTTTATTTTTTGCATTTGTTTAGTATTTGGTTGGACTGCTTTCTTTGGTGTGATTTTATTTTCTCTGGTGACAGCTATTTAGCCTTAGGAGTACTTTCCTGTAGAGCATTACCTTTAAAATACCCTGTGGAGGTGGCTTGTGGGAGGGAAATTCCCTCCTTTTGCTTGTCTGGGAATTGTTTAATCCCTCCATATTTAAATGATAATCGAGCTGGGTACAGTATTCTTGGATCAAGGCCTTTCTGTTTCATTACATTAAATATATCATGCCATTCTCTTCTGGCTTGTAAGGTTTCTGTTGAGAAGTCTGATGATAGCCTGATGGGTTTTCCTTTGTAGATGATCTTTTTTCTCTCTCTGGCTGCTTTTAATACTCTGTCCTTGTGTTTGATCTTTGCCATTTTAATTATTATATGTCTTGGTGTTGTCCTCCTTTGTTCCCTTGTGTTTGGAGATCTATGGGCTTCCATGGTCTGAGAGACTATTTCCTCCCCCTGTTTGGGGAAGTTTTCAGGACTTATTTCTTCAAAGACACTTTCTATCCCTTTTTATCTCTCTTATTCTTCTGGTACCCCTGTAATGGGAATATTGTTCCATTTGGATTGGTCACACAATTCTAGCAATATTCCTTCATTCCAGGAGATCCTTTTATGTCTCTCTGACTCAGCTCTGTATTTCTGTTCTCTGAATTCTATTCCAACGGTAGTCTCTTGCACCTCATCCTGTCTGCTCTTTAGTCCTTCCAGAGATTGTTTCATTTCTGTAACCTCCCTTCTGACTTCATCCCTTAGCTCTTGCATATTTCTCTGCAGGTCCATGAGCATGGTTAGGTTATTTATTTTGAATTATTTTTTAGGAAGATCTGTCTCCCCAGGCCCTGTCTCTGGGGTTGTCTGGGTGATTCTTGATTGGACCAGATTCTTCTGCCTCTTCATGGTGATAGAGGTGGTTGTAGGCAGGTAGCGTATGTGTCAGCTAGGAGAACAAAGTCCCTTCCTGCTTGCTTGTTGCCTTGCCCTTCTCTGCTGATTGTGTCGGTTACCCACACACCGGGAGCAGCCTCTGGGTTAATCCCCCTGAGCTGCCATGGGCAGGGCGGCCCTCGGCTTAGCCCAGAGCTGTGCGGGGAGTGGCAGGCGCGCTGGGTGTGTTCTATTGCAGGAATGGTGCCCCTTTGCGCCTTGCCCGGGCTTCCTCTGTCTGTGCCAGGAAGCTGTATGCCGGTGGCAGCCTCTGGGTGTGGCCTGGGTAGCTGTGTGCTTGGACGAGACTCTGGGCGGTTGCTGTGGGTGGGGACGCTCTCTGGCTGTTCCGCTGCTGTGGTGGGTTAGCCGGTTTGCTTGTAACTCCGGCCAGGGGGAATGAATGGCAGGCTGTTTATCACCGTGAGGAGCTTCGGGGCTTGCTTACCCCCCAGGGTGTGGGGCACCTGAAGTTCCTTAGAATTCCCACCCTGCTGGGCTGAGTATGCTGGCATGATTCCATCCAGCTGTTAAGCCCTTGTTCCTTTAAGACTTTCAGAAAGCACTGGCTTTTCTTTTGGCCCAGTGGAGCTAGCTGTGGGGACCCGCTCTAAGATTTTACATTTCTCTTTCTCTGATATCGAGTACAGCATGAAATGTGTGTCTGTGCTCCCAGTGAAGATTACTAGGGTTGGTTATTTAGCAGTCCTGTGCTTCCAGTCTTTCCCCACTCTGATTCTTTTCCTCCCACTGGTGAGCTGGGTTGGGGGGAGTGCTCAGGTCCCACCAGGTTACAGCTTTGTATCTTACTCTTTTCGTGTGATGCTGAGTTCTTGCAGATGTAGATGTAGCCTGGCTGTTGTACTGTATCTTCTGGTCTTTCTGTTAGGTGTAGTTGTATTTGTTGTATTTTCAAAAGTATATGTGGTTTGTGGAGGAGATTTCTGCTGCCCTACTCACCCTGCCATCTTGGCTCTCCCCTTGATTTTGGTAAATATAACCCATATAACCACCATTCCAATGAAGAAATAGAACATTATCATCTCAGAAAATTCCTTCATGCCCCTTTGTAGTCAGTCTACCTGTGACCCTCCACTCCATTCAACCACTGTTCTGATTTCTATCACTGCAGGTTAGTTTATAATGATATATGTATGTACTCTTTTTTTTCTATGGTGTCTTTCAATAAACATAATTGCTTTTAGATTCATCCATATTGTTGCATATAATGAGTAGTTAATTCCTTTTTACTTCTTAGTAGCATTCCACTGAATGAATACATCACAGTTTATCCATTCATCAGTTGATGGACATTTCTGGCTATCATGAATGAAAGTGTTTCTATGAATATTCATGTATAACTTTCTAAAATATGACTTATATTTCTTGGGGAAAATAACTAGGAGTGAATTTTCTGAGAGGCAAAGGGCCTTTGTAACCATGTTTCAAGAGATTGTCAAGAGTATTTCCTTTCTGGACGACAGGTTTTTGAGAGGCCCAGATTCTTTTTTTTTTAATTTATAAAAGAATTATCAAGTATTTTAAAAGTACAGAAAAGTTGATAAACTAGCACAAGAGTTGGCAAGCTATGGCCCTGAGCCAAATCTACACCCCCCTGGTTTTTTTATTACTATTTGTTTTCATTATCAAATGTACATCACAATGGTTCAACAGTACCAAGCCCTCCCTCTTGCCCCTGCCCACTACCATCCCCCTTGGTAACCATTAGTCACTTCTCAGTGTCTAAGAGAAAATGCTGTTTTGTTCCTTGTGTTTTGCCTTGTTTTTATATTCTACAAATAAGAGAAATCATATGGTATTTGTCTTTCTCTGCCTGGCTTATTTATTTATTTTTTAAATTAAGGTATCATTCATATAAAATCTTATGAAGGTTTCACATTAGCAACATTGTGTTTACTATGTTCACTCATATTATCGAGTCCCACCCCACACCCCATTGCAGTCACTGCCCATCAGCAGAGTAGATGGTATAAAGTCACTACTTGTCTTCTCCATGCTATACTGCCTTCTCCATGTCCCCCCCTACATTTTGTGTGCTAATCATAATGCCCTTTAATCCTTTTCTCCCTCCTTTCCCACCCACCCTCTCTACCCACTTCCCTTTGGTAACTGCTAGTCCCTTTTTGGAGTCTGCCAGTCTCCTGTTTTGTTCCTTCAGTTTTGCTTTGTTGTTATAGTCCACAAATGGATGAAATCATTTGATACTTGTCTTTCTTTGCCTGACAAGTATTAGAGCATAATACCCTCTAGCTCCATCCATGTTGTTGCAAGTGGCAGAATTTGTTTTCTTCTTATGGCTGAGTAATATTCCATTGTGTATATGTACTACCTCTTTAAAAAAAAATTTTTTTTTTTGAGAGGGCATCTCTCATATTTATTGATCAAATGGTTGTTAACAACAATAAAATTCAGTATAGGGGGGTCAATGCTCAATGTACAATCATTAATCCATCTCAAGTCTAATTCTCGTCAGTCTCCAATCTTCTGAAGCATAACGAACAAGTTCTTACATGGTGAACGAATTCTTACATAGTGAATAAATTCTTACATGGTGAACAGTACAAGGGCATTCATCACAGAAACTTTCGGTTTTGATCATGCATTATGACCTATAAACAATCAGGTCAAATATGAATATTCGTTTGATTTTTGTACTTGATTTCTTTGTTGATCCCACATTTCTCC